GACAGAGTTCAAGAGTCCGAGATCCCAGGTGTGCTGACAGGGGTTAGGGGTCCCAGGGATGCTGACAGGGGTTAGGGGTCCCAGGGTTGCTGACAGGGGTTAGGGGTCCCAGGGTTGCTGACAGGACGCTGCGTCCGCTACAACGCGACCCTGCGCACCTGCGAGATTCAGGGCTGGTGCCCGCCCGAGGTGGACACTGTTGACGTGTAAGTGGGGCTGCGGGGACACAGGGAGGAGCAGGGGACATGGCCCCTGCCGTGTCCCCAGTGTCACCCCCTTTCCTCCAGCCCTGTCATGCTGGAAGCTGAGAACTTCACTCTCCTCATCAAGAATAGCATCCGCTTCCCACTGTTTGGATTTGAGAAGTGAGTGCCACAAGACACGGGGGGACACAGGGGAACATGAGGACAGAGGGATGGGGTAACACAGGGACATGGGGACAGAGGACACAGGCATAAGATGGTAGGGGGACACTGGGATGGGGGTCCATGAACCCCAGACTGCTGCCTGATAGCACATCCCTCCATGTCCCCATGTCCCCCTGTGTCCCCAGGACCAACCTGCCACCCCCCGGCAGTGGGGTGGAGCTGGGCCGCTGTCGCTTCCACCCACAGCTGCAGCCCTTGTGCCCCATCCTGCGCCTGGGGGACGTGGCTCGTCTGGCTGGGCAGGACTTCCCTGCACTGGCTGCCACCGTGAGCGGGGACACAGGGGACATGGGAGGCACGGGGGGAGAATGGGGTGGGTGTGGGGACATAGGGGTACAAGCAGGTGGGATGAAAGGGCATGGGGACACCGAGACGTGGGACGTGGGGCATGAGAACATAGGATGGGGGGATATGAGGTGGTGGGACGTGGACATGGAAGATGGGGACACGGACCTGCATAACATGGGGACACGGACCTGCATAACATGGGGACACGGGATGCAGGGATGAGGGATGCTGGGAACAGGACATGGGGATAAAGGAACACAGGACACAGTGTGATGATGTAGGGCTTGACACAGGGACATGGCTGTGGGTGCATGGGATGTGGGACATGGGGAGTACATACATGGAGATGAGAGAAATGGGGTGCAGCGGGATGTGGGAGGTGGGTTCATGAGACATGGAGCATGGGGCCATGGGATGAAGGACTGTGGGGACTTGGCGCCATGGGGCCAGGGTCCGTGGTGCTGATGCAGGGCTGGGGCAGGGGGGGGTGCTGGGGATCAAGATCGGGTGGGTGTGTGACCTGGACCGGGCCTGGGAGCTCTGCCTGCCCCGCTACTCCTTCACCCGCCTGGACAGCCTGGCCCGGACCCCTGCTCCTGGATACAACTTCAGGTGTGGTCAGGACACGCATGGCACAGGGGGGTGCACTGCCTGGCACGGCTCCCATCCCCATGTACCCGTATCCCCATGTCCCCATATCCCCATGTCCCCCTGTCCCTGCAGGCACGCCAGATACTACCGCTGGCCCAACGGCTCCGAGGGCCGCACCCTCATCAAGGCTTTTGGGATCCGCTTTGATGTCCTGGTGTATGGCAGCGTACGTGTGGGGCTGGAGACTCAGGGGGTGGCAGGGGGGTTGGGGGCTCTGGCCAAGAAGGGCTCTGCTCCCCCAGGCCGGGAAGTTCGGCATCGTCCCCACCCTCATCAACACGGTGGCCGCTTTCACCTCCATTGGTGTGGTGAGTTATGGACGTTCTCAGCCCAGAGTGGTGACACCTCCCAGGGCAAAAGGGGGAAATCCCATGGCCATAGGGCATGGAGACACAGCACGGCCGCAGGGTGACAGCGGCCTGGCTCCGTGAGGGTGCGGGGGCGCTCCACAGCGCGGGGCTCCCCCACCCCAACAGTGCCGCCCCCAGGGCACGGTGCTGTGCGACATCATCCTGCTCAACTTCCTCAAGGGCGCTGAGCACTACAAGGCCCGCAAGTTCGAGGAGGTCAGACATGGGGCCGGGGTGTCCTGGGGATGAGGACACTTCCATCCATGGTGCAATGACTCACCCAGTGCCTGTCCCCTGCCCCACAGGTGCCAGAGGCCGACATGCCTGCCACCCCTGCCAGCCCCACGGCGTGTGCCCCCGGGGCATTGGGGACTTGCTCCCGGGACAAGCAATCCACCGACTCGGGCACTTTCTCCCTTGGCTTCTAGCCCCGGGGCCATGGGGCAGCCCCCCTCCTTCCCATCATGCTGTGAGGGAGCCCATAGCCTGATGAGGGGCTCGCTGGGACCCTCATCAGGCTCCTGCTGCCCGCCCAGTCTGCAGTGCTCCTCCTGTGAGCCCCAGTGTCCACCCGGGGTTGTCTCAGTACATCCCAGTGTCCCCAGTGCCTATACGAGCCCTGTCCCTTGTTCCCAGGGTGCCCCTCCCCAGCACCTCCCTATCTTTGCCACCCCATGCCGGGGGCTGCACTCCCCTTCCCCAATAAACCCGTGGCTCGCAGCACCCACCCGTGTCCAGCCTTTGGGGGACGCGGGGCGGTTTTGGGGGTGACGGGTAGGGCTGGGGTGCGGGAGCAGAGGGAGGAGGGGTCGGAGTGCTGTCCCTGGGACAGACGACACCGCGGGGGCAGCTGCCAACAGGAGGAGCGCTGTGCCCGCAGCGCAGCCCGTGGAAGAGGGCACATAGGGACAGGAGTGGTGACCTAGGGGTGTCACTTCCTCGGTGGGATGTGAGTAACTCTGGTGGATTCGGAGGAAGCTGCCAGATCCCTCCTTGTGCAGGGTCAAGCGCTGCCCTTCCTGCGCGGGGGTTTGGGGGTCTGGCTCCTCATCCCACTCCATGGGGGCTCCCATCCCAATCCCCCTGCAGACCCAGTGGGGACGCCGGGAGCCTGGCTTATTCCCAGTGGAGCCGCTGATGCCAAGTCCTGGGGTTCATTCCTGGGAATGACGGCCGAGGGTCCTGGAGCCCCTCGCTGGTGCCCAGGCAGCCCCCGCCCCGCAGGGAGAGCGGCTCCTGCCCTCCCCCCTCTGCAGATAGCGGGGCTTGTTATCAGCCCCACGGATTCCTTATCAGCCCAGCCCTGGCCACCCACCCACCACCCGTGGCCACCACAAACCCAGCCTAGGGGGCTCCTTCCCGGACACCGAGACCAATGGGACCCCCTGGGTGGCACCGAGGCCGAGCAATCCCAGCTTCCAGGACAGGGAGGGGGTGACCGGCAAACTCAACCTGCAGTTTTTGGAAAGGGAAAAGACTGGAAACGGATTCATGTGTGGCGGCTGGAAAGGAATAACTTGTGCCGTGTTCCAGTTAGGACAGAGATAGCCGAGATTGTTATTAATAGTCATTAATACAACTGCTCATTAGCGGTCCTGCTTATTAACGGGGCTCCGGCCAGGGCGAGAGCAGCCCGGGGAACCTGGCTGCGATCCCGGGGGGCTCATTAGCAGTGCTGGTGTTTCCCCGTTAATGCTGTTAATTAGCGGAAAGGCTCGAGTCGTGTCTGCACTGAGGACTGGGGGGTTCCAGCCCTTCTTCATTCCAGCTTGGTATTTGAACCGGAACTGGGCACCCTCCCATTTCTGCCACCAGTTGAAGCAGTTTTGGGGGTTAATACCTCTCCCCGAAAACTGGCTGTCCCGGCACCGAGACACGGGATCGTTCCTTATCTCCAGCCTTATTAAGCCCCACTTTGTTCTCCCAGCTGACGCTGCAGCTCTGGGTGTCTGGTTCGGTGCTGCTGTGCCCCCACCTCCGGAACTCCTTAACCTGCACCCCTATTTACCAGTCCCTTTCCCCCCTATACCACTCTGTCTCATTTTGGAGACCCCCTATGAGCTCTCCCCCCTTATTTCAGCCACTGAATTCCCCCCAAAACCCCTCATTTACACCTCTTTGTTGGTAGAAGGGCCCCACTGAGCCGGCGGGGGGTCCCGGGGGGCTCTGTGCCCCCCCGCCTCCGTCCCTGCACTCAGGAGTTAAACCTGCCCCTTCCCACAGCCCATCCTATGCTTAATCCCCGCCTTCAGCCCCAGCCCAGGCCCCAGCCCGGACCCCCCTGCGTGGCCCGGGGGAATTGGGGCTCTTCAGACCTCACTCTGCAAAGTCTCACTCGGGTTCTTCGCTTCTTTTCCTCAGAGATGGAATTGTGAGAGTTCAGTCCCAAAGGCAAAATCCCACACCACGGCCCCACCACCGCGGGGGGCTTCCCTCCTCCCGTCCTCCCCAATATTTATTTGTGGGGTGGGGGGAAGGTTGTTCTCTCTTGGCTCAGCGTTGCCACTTTGCTCCATGAGCAACCCGCCGAGCTGGGATAGACCGAGAGCTCCGGTGGCAGCCGGTCCTGCGGCAGCTGCTGCCCTAAAATGGTGTTTTTACAGCGTGGGGGGTCCCAGAACCCCCCTCCCCGCCCTGGATTTTTGGTAAATGCATAAATCTTCTCGGCGTGTTATGCTCGAAGTGGGGCCCGGCGCTGGGGGACCCCCCAGAGCCACCACTGTGTGCACAGTGTGGCAAAGCTGGGAGCAAAACAGGGAATCCCGAGTGAATGCAAAATGCCAAATGCAAAATACCAAATGCACATCCTCCCACCTCCAGTGCGACTCCCTCCAGTGTGACACCACCCCCCCAGTGCCAAGTGCCCGATGTGACACTGCCCATGCGAAATGCATCCCCGGCGTGTGACACCCCGGCGCTGAATGCGGCACCCTGAGGTGAAACCCCAAATGCTGGCTGAAGCCCCCCCGTTCCTGAGCTCCTGACTCCAGCAGCGAACGCCATCGTGGTGGGCGACCAAAACCCCTGGGCGCGGCGGGGCCGGGCTTATCTCGGGGGTCGGCGCGTTGACACGCGGGTGAGAGCTCGGTAAAACCCCCCGGGCAGGAGCCAGATGGAGGTGGGGGGAGCTGTGAAGTTTCCCACGGGGGCTCCCCCCGGCCCTGCCTCCTGCCCTGTCCTGTCCGTCCCCTCCGGGAGGAGGGCGGGGAGGAGGAGGAAGGGGAGGTAACGCGGTGGGATTCGCGGGCGGCTCAGGGGCCAGAGGAGCGGGTGAGCCCGGGATGAGCTGAGCGGAGCGAAGCCCAGCGCCGCGATGGACGAGACGACGGCCGCCTACACCTACGGCTTCGACAATGATACGGACTGCGAGTACACGGAGTGGGGCCCCTCGCTGGCCCTGCTTCCCACCATCTACCTGCTGGTCTTCCTGCTGGGCACCACCGGCAACGGGCTGGTCCTCTGGACCGTCTTCAAGGGCGGCCGCGACCGCCGGCGCTCGGCCGACACCTTCATCGCCAACCTGGCCGTGGCCGACCTCACCTTCGTGGTCACTCTGCCCCTCTGGGCCGCCTACGCCTGGCTGGGCTACCACTGGCCCTTCGGCACGGCCGCCTGCAAGGTCAGCAGCTACCTGGTGTTCGTCAACATGTACGCCAGCGTCTTCTGCCTGACTGGCCTCAGCTTCGACCGCTACCTGGCCATCGTCCGGCCGCTGGCCACGGCCAAGCTGCGCTCGCGGGTCAGCGGGCTGCTGGCCACCGTGGCTCTGTGGCTGCTGGCGGCCCTGCTGGCCCTGCCCGCCCTGGTGCTGCGGCGAGCGGCCGCCCTCAGCGGGGACACCAAGATCACCTGCTACATGGACTACGGGGAGCTGGCGGCGCAGGGGACGGAGAGCGCCTGGGAGGTGGGGCTGGGGCTCTCCTCCACCGCGCTGGGCTTCGTGGCCCCGTTCGCCGTGATGCTGACCTGCTACTTCTTCATCGCCCGCACCGTGGCCACTCACTTCCGTCGGGAGCGGGCCGAGGGGCCCCGCAAGCGCAAGCGCCTCCTCACCATCATCACGGTGCTGGTGGCCGCTTTCGGGGGCTGCTGGCTGCCCTTCCACTTGGTCAAGACCCTCTACGTGCTGATGGACCTGGAGGTGCTGCCCTGGTCCTGCGCCTTTCACGCCTTCCTCAACAACCTCCATCCCTACTGCACCGGCATCGCCTACATCAACAGCTGCCTCAACCCCTTCCTCTACGCCTTCTTCGACCCCCGCTTCCGCCACGCCTGCGCCGCCCTCCTCTGCTGCCGGACCCCCGGGCCCGGCCCCGAGCGCTCCGCCAGCTACTCCTCGGGGCACAGCCACCCCCCCGGTGGCAAGGGGGGCCCCGGCCCGGGGGGCAAGCTGGACCCCGCCACCCAGGAGACGCTCTTCCGCGCCTGAGCCCCTCCCCGACCACGCCCGGCGCCCCCCGAGCTGGTCTACTCGGGGGGATCCCCCATCTCCGCCTCGCCCCAAAGCCTGGCTTGCTTTGGGTATCCCCCGCTGGAAAGCCCTGCTGGCGGGAAAGGGAAACTGAGGCACAGCCGGAGAGGAGCCCCTGGGGGGCTCAGGCAGGGGCGGCTTCCTCGGCACCTCCAGGGCTTTGTGTTTTGTGACAAATAAATGAATTTTGGTTAAAAAAGGAGTAGGGTGTGCGCAGTTCCCTCGGGGGGCCGAGGGCATGTGGTGGCAGGGAGGATGGAGGGGTGAGGGTATTGCTGGGTTTTAGGGTGTCTGTGAGAGAGGGTGCAGTGTGTGTGTGGTGTGTGCGTGTGCAGTGTAGGGGGGTCTCTGCCTGGGACAGATTCTTCTGGTCTCTTTTTCAGCATCACTTTGGGAAATGCAAGAAAACCTCCATCCCAACACTTCAGAGCCTTGCAGCACCGGGATGGGGGTATTTGACTCTGTGGGGTGAGCACCTGCCTGCCCCAACGACCCAGCTGTGATTGGATCAGGCGGCAGCACTGTCCCACCAAATCCCATTTTGGGGCTTTTATCCTTATCTGAGGCTGGGACGAGCCCCGGGTGACTCAACCTGGGTGTGCAAACGGGACCTGGTGCTGTGAAACACCCAAACTTGAGGGATAGGGACATGGGACCCCCTGGGTGCAGATGGGGACACGGGACCTCCTGGGTATGAAGAGGCACATAGAACCCCCTTGGCGCTGATGGGAGGTTTGGGCACCGGGCAGGACCCCGGCTCACCCCAACCAGGATTTGGCTGAGCCACCAAATGGCTCCTGTCCCATTTCCGCCCCCCCAGCCCCCGCCGCTTCCTGAGGCTCTGCTAGAAATAAATCTTCCCCCTATTTGCTATTTACATCCTTCATTTATCGGTGATGAACTATCCTGTCTCCTCAGCCTTTGTTCTCTCTTGGAAAGGATGCAGGATCATTACTGGGTTCCTTGGGATGCTTCCCGTCGGGGGAGCTGCCTCCGCCTTCCTGCCGGCTCCCACCGTGTTTGGGGGCCACCGCCCCGGGTCTCCCCGTGTGGGGACAGTCCTTTGTCCAGAGAGAGGGAATGGAGGGGGCAGCCAGGGGGCTGGGGGCTGCACAACCCCCCACCCGGAGGGATGGGAGCCTCCTTGAGGGTTTTAGGGAGTTTCCAGATGGATATGGTTTGGTCTATGGGCTGGGGGAGCTTGACGAGTGGGAATGTTGCATCCAGGGACACGTCCCAAAGTGTGTTTACATTCCACTGCCGTCCAGGCTCCCTCAGCATGGAGAGACCCCTGGATATCTCTCATCCATCTGTCAATCCAGATGTCCATCCATCAGTCCAACAGTCCCCTCCTCCATCCATCCATCCATCCATCCATCCATCCATCCATCCATCCATCCATCCACCCATGGGTTAATGGTTTTGGGGTTACACGGTCTGGGATGATGGTTGGATTTGATCTTAAATGCCCCTTCAAAACTTGATGCTTCTACGATTTTTCCCTTCTCTTCCTCCCTTTGCCCATCCCTCCATCTCACCGTCCTCCTTTCCCTCCCTCTCTCCATCTCTCCCTCTCTCCCTCCATCCCTCCGCCACCCTCAAATACCCCAGCACTATTGAGGGGGTCGGATTTGCTGCTTCCCCCGCGTCCTGCTCAGCCGCCGGGCGCGGAAATGGCCGCAGGCGCCCGGGCAGCGGAGACGGAGCTGCCGACTTTCTATCCGCGTCTTAGAGATTTCCCTTTCCCTTCCAGGAGGGAAATGTTTGGTTGAAGAGTCTCTGGGGAGAAATGCAGGGACACTCCAGAAAATAACAAGGCCGGAGCTGGGGGTGAGGGGCAGCAGCGCCGGACCACCCGTCGGAAGAAGATAAGGAAGGTGCTGCCTTCCTGAGAGTGCCTGGGGAAGATGAAGAGGGAAGATAGAGGGGGGACAGCAGGCACGGGGGGATGGGGAGCATCCTTGGAAAGGATGGCTGGGGAGCGGGGGGTGGGTGTGATCCTCAGAGAGCTTGGGGACCCTTCAAACCCCAAAATGCGGTGCCTTGGGGACGCTGACGGTCCCAGTTGGGCCGGGAAAAAAGAGATTATTCTGCGCAGGGAGTAAAAGTGGGCACCGGGTAGGACGGATGCACCGGGGATAGGAATTGGCACAAGGATGGGGACAGCCCCCCCCCTCCCCGGGCAGTTCCCCCCACCTCTCCCCGCTTTTCCAAGCTGCCAAACGGGATGTTCATCCCCCCAACCTCCCCCACCTCGCATCCCGCATCCCGCCCGGCGGTGCCGAAATAATCTGGTGGTGCTAAGGATGTCCCGGGGCGTCCCCTTTGAAGTGACCTCCGTGTTTACAGCCCGGCTCGGGCTCCTTCACACCTCCCGCCCCAAAGCAAACGGAGGGGGGGAACCGCGTGGGTGGGGGGGCTGCAGCTCCCGTTTGTGCCGGGAAATCTCGGATTTGCTAAAGCCGCGGGAAAGCTTCGGCACCACACCCAGGGCTCAGAAACTTTTGTCACTGTGGGGTGGGAACGGTGGCTGCTGCCGGGGATGGCATTTCGGGGCAGGGGGGGTCCCTGCCTCGGTGTGTACCCACCCGGGACCTTAGGGGGCCCCGTCCATTGTGAGGGGACCCCCGAAGGTCTGGTGGACCCTGAAGGACTGAGGAGGGGACAGAGGGGGAGGACAGAGAGAGGAAAAAGGGTGGAAAAGATGGGGGGCGGGCAGTTTGGGAGGGTGGGGGAGGTTTGGGATGGGAGGCGAGATTGTATTATGCGGATGGATGGATGGATGGATGGATGGATGGATGGATGGATGGATGGACATATGGGAGGACATGCAGGGCAGTGCCGGGGTTCGGGGCACTGAGGTTGGGCGCTGGGATCCACTGTCCGGCCGCTGCCCCCATTGCTCCCCCGGGGCTCCGGCGCGGCCGGACGCGGCACAGCTGCTGCCCGACCTCTGGGCTCCGGCCAGGCGGGACGGGCCCCGCGTCCCCCCGCCCGCTCGGAGGGGGTCCTGGGGGCGGGGGGGACGCCGAGGTGACCCGGCGGCCACAGCTGGGCCCCGCCGGGGCCGGGAGATGTTGCCGGAGGAATAACAGGAAGCGCTGGAGGGAAAAGCACGGCTGATGCCTTCTGCAGGCTGCGGGATGTCGCCTGTGCCCGCTGCACGCACGCGGGTGTCTGTCACACACACGTCCCTGTCACACACACGCGTGTCCCCCCCGCCACACGCGTGTCCCGGCCCCGGCTGCGCTGACACTCTTTATTGTCGAGGTTTGGCGCTGAAAAAGTGCCCCGTGGTACAAAACCCGCGGTTACAAAACGTACAAAGAGCGGGGGTCGGGGGGGAAGAGAGAAAAAGGAAAGGAAAAGAAAAG